ATGACGATAGTCGTAGTTGCTTACGCTCATCACTTCAATACGTCTCTTTTCACTTCCTACGCTCAACCGTCGCAAGCGTACTGAGAAATGTCGTACTGCAAAATGGTATTTCATAGAGTTCATGTGAAATGCCGGCTTCATCTTTTCGTATTCCAGCCCTTCCTAATTGACATGTTCTGTCGCTAGATTTGCTTATAATCTCATCGCGTGCGTCCAATAATGCAAAGACCGTCGCCAGAATTCATATGAAATGCTTGACTTCTTTATTCTTATTTCACAATGGAACAGACAAATCGACTACGTTTCTTAAATAGAAGAAGTGCAGATTTTTAAAGCACGGATTTTGCTTCATTTTCCACGACAATGTGTTTGAGTTTATTTTCACTTTTCTGTTCTTCTCAACTTTATACCAAGTCTAAATAATTTAACGTATTATTTACTGCCTATTCTTTTTAACGGCAGGGTTGGCATTGTGAAATATAACTTCAATGATGCTGAGATATTTGCAAAACTCCGCACCGCAGGTGTATGCGGTGGGGAACGAACGCGCTATTGTCTTTACCGGGGAGTAGCGCACTTCACCACCACACTATCCGGGTCGTTCGTTTTGCCTGTCTCTCAGATAGTTCTAGCTAGGGCCCCCAGATCAATCCCGTTGACGGGTGATTGCTGATGGCAAGAAAAAGATCGATAGAACTAGCTGAGAGACAGGCAAAACGAAGCACCCGGATAGTGTGGTGGTGAAGTGCGCTACTCCCCGGTAAGGACAATAGCGCGTTCGTTTCCCATCGCATACACCTGCGGTGCGGAGTTTTGCAAATATCACAGCATCATTCAAGTCCAAATAATTTTCTCCTTTCAACAAAATTATTTACCCCAACTTCTCGAAGTTTCGACGAGAGAATTTCTGCAGTAAAATAATACTGGAATTAGACAAAACGTATCAGAACTGCAACATCTGCTACCGATATTCGTTAGCAGGGCGAGGCCAATTCTGCGGCTCATCCAGCATTCTCGGAGGAGCTTCCGTTAATTACCGCGTTTTCAATCGTCTCGACTAGTACTTGTAAAGGAACTTCTCAGCAACCGAGCTCTCCTGGAAATTCTCTCAAGTTTCGTTGCTGCAAGAATTCTATAACACTACGTCTTGAATTAGATACCTTTGTAATTTGTTGTATAATTAGAGCCTAATAGGTATTAGTTCTACTAATAGAAAAGGAAAGGAAACGAAAGGTCCACATGGTGTGGTGGTGAACGCGTTGCTTCCAGGAAAGGACAATAGCGCGTTCGTTCTCCACTGCATACACCTGCGGTCCGGAGTTTTGCAAATATCTCAGCATTATAATAGTTCTATTAATAGAAAGTAAAGAAATAAAGGAATAAAGTAACACCTCGTGTTTGCTAAACAGAAGTAGAAAGAATTGTTCAATCAACGCCGAGGTTAATAGAAAGTTGGACTTGGGAATTTCTATTAATAGAGTTTACTATAAACTGAGGAAGGTGCAAGTGAAGAGTTGGTGGGTGAAAAGCCAGTAGGATTTCAGAGACAACACAATACACTTAACTGCTCCATATATTGTGTATATGTGTGTTCCTTCGTCAAGATTAATTTTAAATGTTAAGTTTTTATTTGCTGCCTATTACAGCTTTTGTCAACAACTGACGGAATCGCCTGTCCTGATAACTTTTGGCCTTTTGTAGTACAGTTCTAAATGTGGATTATAGAACTAAGACCACACAACGACAAAGACGTAGAGATAAGCGGTCACTGAAATTTCGTTAGGCATGGAATCAATACAAACCTTAATTAAACAAGTCCAAGAATGCTGTAAAAACAGTTATAAGTTTAGAATTAATTGAAAAACAGCTGCAATGACGCTGAGATATTTGCAAACCTCCGGGCGGCAGGTGTATGCAGTGGGAAACAAATGCACTACTACTCTCGAATAGGTAACTTAGAGACAGGCGAAACGAAAGACCTGAATGGTGTGTGGGTTAACGTGTTAGTCCCCTGAAAGGGTAATAGCAAGTTCGTTCCTTATCGCATACACCTGCCATCCGGAGCTTTGCAAATATCTCATCGTCATTGCAGCTGTTTTTCAATTAATTCTAAACTTATAACTGTTTTTACAGTATTTTTGGAGTTGTTTAATTAAGGTCTGTATTGATTCCATGCCTAACGAAATTTCAGTGACCGCTTATCTCTACGTCTTTGTCGTTGCGTGGTCTCAGTTCTATAATCCACATTTAGAACTGTACTACAAAAGGCCAAAAGTTATCAGCACAGGCGATTCCGTCAATTGCTCTAGTGGATCTAGTCCAAAGTTTTCCAGTAACTTCAATTTCCAAGTTCTTCACGGTTTTTGTTGCAGTCGTCAACGTTTTTCTCGATAACCTACCTAGAATTCGTTGCCTATTTTACCTAAGTCCGCTCGGACTATTGAGAAGGTGGCGCACTACTTTTAGATATTAGGACCTAATGAATAAGGCTAGGCTAAAAGGTTATAGGAATCGCACTCAATATTGAATCTAATATCTTTGCAGGTGCAGTAACAAGCCTGTGATGTCTTTTTTCAACGATTTCTTGATTGAGTTGTTAAGCTTGATATTTACTTCTACATATCAAAAAATATGATTTATTAACGTTTAGAAGATTCGGAAGAAATTGTCTCTTCAGAGCTTAACTGCTTTTCTTTCGTTCATTACACATATTAATGATATTATTACTTCTACTTCTGTCGTTTTTACTTTCATTATTTAGTTCTAATCCAATGGTTTGTCGCTCCTCATAACTGTAATGGGTTCCCGAGTGTTCAACTGTTACGTAGAGCAGTTTATCTCTAAAGCAAAACGTCCCAAGCTCAAAAGAAGTTCGACATTATTATTGGCAAGCCCAGTCATGAGTAAGCAATTCCATTAATCACCGTCGCCCTAGCAGCAACCTAATCGCGAGCTGATTAATCTCCTTCCGATTCACAAAGACCAATGACGGTCGGTGGTAGGTATGTTGGAAAACCCTTTCACGCCTATCTCGGGTGCAATGGAAGAAAATCTTCTCCAGCCTAGAAAATATCAGTTAGTCGAAAATTGCTATGCAGCCGCGACTTTCACTAATGTAGACTGGTCATTAGCTGGAAAGTAAGTATGGAATATGATAGATCTGTCCATGGCAGCACAGCTTTCTTGACTGTCCAATCTGGTATGAAATGCTGAGATATTTGCAAAACTCCGGACCACAGGTGTATGCAATGGAAAACGAACACGCGCTGTTGTCCTTACCGGGGAGCAGCGCGTGTTCGTTCTCCATTGCATACACCTGTGGTCCAGAGTTTTGCAAGTATCTCAGCATTTCATACGAGTTATAATTTGAAACATAACCTGCCATTAAGAAGAAAAAGGCAGTAAATAGAGGAGTTAAGATTGTCCAATCTAGATTTGAATATATAAAATTTGGGTGACTAAACCGTTAGTGAAAGCATTCGACAAGTTAAACAAATGAGTGTAGAGTTGTCTTCGGACTGTTTCTTGAACGCCATTCATCAATTCTAAAGTCGGGTGACAAATATAAGTGCCTTCCAACTTGTCACAGAGTAAGGTGAACCTTCTCGTTTGCTGGTTTGGTAAAGTACTATGGCCAACGTGTTTCCACAACTCATGAGTAATAGGAAGTTATTTCAGTGGGTCGGAAATTTTGAATAATGAGAACTTAGTGAAAACTTCTAAGAAGCAAATCCATTATCGAAAACTTAGGGAACATAATTCTTTTTCTATGCATGAAAGTCTACTCAAGCACGTTGCGAACATGGTGTTTTTCTTTCTACAGACACTAGCACTTGTCTAAAAAGTGCCAAAAGTTAAAGATGGCTCCAGTTATCACCAGTGAACTCACGCATGAATTCATGTACCTTTCCTTATTATTAGTAAAGTTACAACGTTGTTGAGATATTTGCAAAATCTCTAGACCTCAGGTGTTTACGGTGGGGGAACGAACGCGCTATTGCCCTTTCCAGGGAATGACGTTTTCACCACCACATCATTTGGGTTCTTCGTTTTACTTGTCTCTCAGCTAGTTTTATCGATCAGTCCCATCAGCAATCACCCATCAACGGGATTGATCTGGGGAGCCCACATCGGCATTGAATCCAGTTAAGCAGAGGCAGAAAATAAAAGGTGAAACATTGTGATTTCAACTACAGCCTCAGTCTAACTGGGGTCAATGCCGATGAGGGCTCCCAGATCAAATCCGTTGGCAGTTGAATGCTGATGGCGCTAATCGATAAAACTAGCTGAGCGGAAGGCGAAACGAAGACTCGCATGGTGTGGTGGTGAACGCGTCACTCCCCGGAAAGGACAATAGTGCATTCGTCCCCCACCATAGGCACCTGCTGTCCGTAGTTTTGCAAATATCTCAGCAACGTTGTGGTTGTATTTCGTTTAGTACCCTGCCGCGAAATTATAGTAAACAGAAAATAAAAAGGTATAACATTGTGATTTCAACTACAGCTGCAGTTTAACTGGGTTCTATGGCGATTTGGGTGCCCCAGATCAAACTCGCTGACGGGTGATTGCTGTGGCAAAGATCGATAGAAATAGCTGAGAGACGTGCGAAACGAAGGACCCGCATGGTGCGGTGGTGAACGCGTTACTCTCCGGAAAGGACAATAGTGCATTCGCCCCCCACCATAGGCACCTGCTGTCCGTAGTTTTGCAAACATCTCAGCAACGTTGTGGTTGTATTTCGCTTAGTACCCTGCCGTGAAAATTGTAGTAGGCAAAAAGTAAAAGTTAAAATATTAGTGAAATTGAAAAGATCAGCTACAAGAAGAGAGCGAGGCTCAAACAAGTATGTCACAGTCAAACAGTTTTTTTCCGCGCTAGGATGTGGTTCTTTCCAAATATTTCTTACTGATTATATTTTTTAACAACTTCTAAGTATAAAGCTTACAAGTCTTCGTATTTCTAAAGTTTTTTATCCACTAAACTTTAATTATGAAGATATTATGGGTGTACTTCAAAAATGCGTCGATCACGTTCATGAACGTGATCCTGAGCCGATTGGTTTCAAAGAGACGTTGCTGGGTCATCAAGTGGTAGGTGAGAGGTCGACGGGCCAAAAACGAGCTCCATCTAGATGAGTGCAGCGAAAATATTACATATTCTGCATGATCTCCATTAATAATTCCAATGTTGCTATAAATCCGCCACTATTCCGCAGCGTGAACTATGAATTGGAAAGGAACAAAAGTAGACAGAAGATTCGAGAATTCACGAAAGCACTTAGAATAAACTATTCATGTCAAATTTCAGTCTATGAAATGTCCCTCTTGACATAGGACGTGGGATTTTGTTGGAACACAATGCTACAATGAGATCATGTCACGTCGAGTGTAGTGCTTCCTGTTGTTGTGTCGAAGTGTTTACAAGAACGCACTCTCTGCAGTTCCACTCGAAGTCGTGTCCTCGTGGAAAAAGAACTGGGAACGGTGTAAAATTCGTCAATTTAGTCGTAATTCATTAGTTAGTATTAAAACCCAGTTATCGAAAAAATCTACAAAAGATCGGCTTATTCAAGAACTACGCCAGAGGATAGGTTAAAGCTCCAAACACATAGGTAAATATCTCGCTCCGAAATCTTTCTAACTGGTTCGCAAACATGATGTACGAGGGAAGAGCCACATGCGTCTTTCCTTTCAACTCAATTATATAACCAGTAAAAAATTTAGGAACAAAAGATTAGCAGTGCAGGGTGAAATTCTAGAGGCTGAGAAGAGCATATTAAAATGTTCCTCCTTCTGGGTTCATGACGAGTGACAAATTCCTCCAAGTAGCAATAGAGAAGAACACGCACAATCCTAATTCCGTCGTATCCAAAGAATTCTTCTATTTGCTTCCAGTTCATCCTAATTAAGTTGAATACGTTATCTGACAGGTGTTCTCATTCGAAGGCCGACGTTTTACTTGACCATCATAACATCTACTAAGCGAATCCCAGCACTTCTTTCATTTGATTCGTCTTCCTCGCTTTCATCGTCCACAGTGGTCTTCGAACATTTCACGCGTTGCTTCATCTGCTATTTGAGAATTTCGTCTTCCTTATGAATGTCGTAGAATTGTGTTTGAGTGGATTCTGCTAACAATGCTGAAAATTACCTGGCCACAGTGTTATCACGTGAATTGGTGAAGAGTGTTGGGGCGCGATCGAGCTAGAGTCTTTTGCTTTCTGATCGATTGCATCACTAACCGCTGCTCTATCCCCGCCTCATAAGGACTTAAGCCTTTGAAAATTATCGTGCAATTTACTTTCAGTTTTATACTAGTTTATTACCATTGCACAATTAGCTAAGATAACAAATAAGTGTTTACATTCTATATACGTTCTATATTTAAAAACCCCATTCCCAATATATAGTATGATGGGTGTGCCCCAATTTCAGGCTGTACCATTACAAAAAAGACGAAAATGGTCCGATGAAAAGGTATCATCACTTCAGAAGCATAACTTCTGAGTGCGCCATAAGAAAACTGAAATGGGATAGCATGGTAGCGTAATTTGATAAATGAAATCCACATTCTCTTTCTTTTGTTGATGATATCATTCCAATAACATTAGCTGGGTAAATATAAGCTCGCCGATATCGAAAACACTTACGAAATTATCGGCCTGCTGCAGAAAGTAAAGAAAAAGATATTCATGGGAAACGAATCTTCTCCTTTCTCTTTCATGCCTTAGTTAATATCTCCGAATGCTTCAGCTATTTGCGCGATCTCAATGACGAAACCAACGTGACGGGCGAACTGATTCCAGAGTTGTGCTTCAGAAGTAATGAGCGACTTCATACCTTACGAGGAAATCGCAAAATAAATAGTAAATAATCGTAATCGAAGTAAATAAGAAAAAAAAACAAAGAACACCCGAACCCGTGATTCCTTCTTCCTTAACCTACACCACAGATGACTGGACACGCCTAATGAAGCTGCAGTCGGACGCGATATAGAAAAAATATAACAGAAGTAGGATAGAAGCATTACGTATCAGTTGAGATTTAAAGAGAGAATTCAGAATTTCAAAACGCATCAATGCACCGATAGAGAAATCATATGCGTTTGATTCGTAATATGTCTCAACGCCAGCGAGTTGAAAGCGAGTCAGACATTTGGTTATGAAACAAGCGAAATTCATATGTTGAACATTTTCATAAAAAGCTAGAACAGGAAATATGACAGTCTTCACGTTCCTCGAAGCAGTAGACTCATGTTGCAACTCTGGCATGCAATGGAAACGAAGGAAAGCCAGTGACACTCGTTCACTTCCTTCATAGTCAAACCGGATAGCATTTGATAGATGTGGTGATTGCAAAAAACCTAAAGATCTTACCCTCAAAACACAGCTTCTCTGTTACTAAACATTCGTTATATTTTATTCAATCTGCATAAATATTTTTTCTAGTCCTTCAACAGTTTAGCACCTCGTCATCTTTGGCGAGTTTTCCACGGTGTCAGACCTCGGTTTACAACAAAACTCATTCTCACCGGGGTCTGCTAAGACGAGTAAAGTTCGACTTTTTTTTCGAAACCCAGCTAATAGTAGACCCATCCCATGATAGTCCGTTGAGCTCTACGTGGTTATTTCTTTTGCTGTGACAGTGAAAAAACTGGCTTTCGTATGGAAACTGTCGTGCTAGTCGTTCTCTTTATGCTACTCTGATCAGCGATAGAGACAAACGGAGGTTAAAAATCCCCGTACAATTTACTGGGTGATTAACGGAGTCACACCTAGTAGGTGATTTCTGGAATTCTGCTCCTAAGTTATATTTTACTATAGTGGTTTTCTAACGCTAAAACAAAACCACTCATTGCGGTTACTAAGATTCTCAGTGAACATTTAAAAATGCTCCTTGGATCCTTTCCACTTGTAACTTGTTTTCCTTAAACAGACACGAGATTGTTAGTGATTCCTGTTAGCTGCTACTTGTTTAAATACCAATAAATTTGTTTAGCGAACATAGTGTAGTCGTTAAAGGTTGAAGGTAATACTAAATAAATGTATTATACACAAATGAATATGTATACATATGTGTGTACATAAATATATGCACGAGCCATTCTGAGGCGGTAGTGACACGGTGTGTAACTCGTTAACCAACCTGCACCTCAGTGAAACAAAGAGTTGTTTTTCGCACTAGCGCTTTTGTTTCTACACGTACTCCGGAGATCTACGACGTCTCCTTGCCATCAATTTCATCCTGCAATCACCTCTATTAAGGAAAATCAACGAGCGAACGTTTCTGACATTCAAGAAAGTAGACCAAGCACTAATTTATGCCGTTTATTATTCTCTATACAACATATAGGTAATTATCTTCTGCTGCACTGCCACCGATATCGACATAATCATCACTTTTTCTCACCTTCTTTCCATTCTCTTCATCACTTCTTTTCTTTCCTTTATAAGGAATGTATTGAAGCTCCCTATATCTCATTTTTCAGATGACAATTTGTTGCTTGGGATAGAAAACCGTTTTACAGCTGATCGATGCTCTTCGAAAAGCGAGATCGATGTAAGTCGTTGATTACGAACGAGAATTTGCCTGTTTTCGAGTCTTTCTGTTTACCCATTCATCTCTCGTAGTTCATTACGGCATTGAGGCCACAAGAAAAGGAAACTATAACGGAACTTTTCATTCCATTTTCATCTTTTCTTCCTTATTCGTCTCGTACAATCAAATGAAATTTGAAGAGTCCCGACAAAGTCATTGTGACTAAGTTGTAGAAAGGTAAAAATGCGTGAGCCATCTCTGAGGTTTTCTCAAGATTCACCATTAGCTGTTTTATGTGAAGCTTGGTACTTGCTACTTGAATGGCCTGTCTTGAATGGTTGTGCGGGCCCCAGCATATTCTCCATTTTTCGGAGATTTACTGGTCAACCCATTGTGGTTTCCAGAAATCACGTGGTCAGTCTAGCCAAAGTCTGCCCCAGATCATCGACACCAAAGGCAGCCACCGCCCTTCCAGATCAGAGCAAGATTTGCCACCATGCGACTTTGATAATAGGACGGTGGTGGATTCTGGTATTGATTTACTCTTAGCTAGGCTTCCTGATGGAAACGCCAGACTCAGCTTGGGAGACCCTGATGGAGGGACGAATCACCACGCTGTATATCGCAGTCCGACACTCAGGAACACCTCCCAGCCACGATGAGGCGCTAAAACGTTGAGAGTAATATAACATATATAGTAATATAACATAGTAATATAACAAATTGTTACATAGAAAGACATAAAGGATAAGGCTCTAAGCGTTGGTCGATTTGCGATTGATGCACCATGTATTCAACTTCACTAAGCTTCGTTAGAGGTGATGAATGCATATTTGACCTATACAATGACACGCGGTGTCCTACCGATGCATCGAGTCAGTGTTGCTATCCTCCCATACCTGTGTGGTACCACTTTGCCGTCCCCGAAGGGATAGAGAAGTTGGTTAGCTTGAGCCGCGGGATCGAATTCATGTGTAATGCAGAACGCCTCTAACCAGTGCACTACATGCTTCGAAACTACTACTTAGGTCTGATTAAACAATGGAAAAGAAAACAATGATGTTGACAGCAGTGGATGGAGACGGTGCATTCGATTATCTACACAAAGTTGACGAATAAAAATTCTCGCTTCAGTGCGACCATATAATCGATGACTACTCATGTGATATCATGTCCTTCAAACATATAAATTTGTTGCTTTTCACATAATAGTCGGCTATTAAAGAGAAGTAGGCAATAAAGAAAAAGTGACGACGTTGTGATATATGACGCAGCTTCAGCTTAACTGGGTTCAATGCCGATTTGTGCTTTCCAGATCAATTCCGTTGACGTGTGTTTGCTGATAGCACCTATAGGTCAATAACATGGCTGAAAGACATACGAAACGATGGACTCGTATAGTGTGGTGGTGGGCGCGTTAGCACATAGAAATGCTAATAGTGTGTTCGGTCACCACCGCCGTCACCACTGGCCCGGAGTTTTGCAAATGTCTCCGCATCATTGTCGCTATATTTCACACAGCGTTTGAACGTATTTCTATATAGCCGCGTTTTTACTACCTCCCACATAACGCACCCTCGCATGGAAAAAAAGATTAGGCAGGAAATGAAACTTAATACACGTGAGTTCGACAGCAGTTTCAACTTGACTGAGTTCGAAGCCAATCTGGGGTTGCCACATCACTCCCTTCCAAAGTTGCTGATGGCACCGTTAGGGTGAAAAAACTGGTTGAGAGAAATGCAGATCGAGGGCCTCAGTGGCATAGGGGATAACACATGAGTCCTTGGGTAGGGTAGTCGTTGGTTTGAAGCTTCTGAGTGTTCATATCTTAACATCCGTGTGGTTGTATTTCTATTTTCTTTTGTGTTATGGTATTTGAACATATTATTGAACCTGTTTGGTTGAATTGACCGCATAGGGTAAGGACGTAAATGTGGTAGAAATTCTTTCTTAGTGCTTATCAAGTGTTCTGAAAGAATTTGTGTGAAACTGTTAGTGCGTTTTTCAGAACGCTAGGCTCGAAATTTCTCTACGTGCAGGTGGACTTTCCGTCTATGTAATCACTGTTTTTGTCTGATAAAAAATCTTCCGTGCAGAAAGTACATTTTGAGCCAAGCGATAATGAAAATAATCCAACATGACTGGAATAGAGAATGAATTAGTATGCGGTGAAAAACATCGTCGATACGCACATTTGCATTCTACGCTAATGTGGTAAATGTATGAAAGGAAGAATAACCCTTCTTTTTCATAGAGGGAACAGTAGGGAGGTCAACCGTTTGAGATCGGCACTGCTTCGAATCGACCGCACTTCCTCCATTTGGCGACACTGACGAGGATGAAGAGCTTAGTTGGCTTTACGGCGCCACGATCGAATTAATGTTTTTATTGTGAGTTCGAGCGATAGACCATTTCGGAACGCTATACAACACCAATAGTAGGCCAACAAATCAATAAATATGCAAATAAACAATTAGGTATGATACGTCACTAAGTTAGAATCTAGTATAAAGACAGAGCAAGCCAACTAGAGTGGAAATCTTTCCATCACGTTTTATCGTTCTTTGCTGGTAATCCACGGTTACAGTACTCTTTATGAGCTATTGTAACGAAATTACTGTAGCTGATGTCTAAAAATTTGAGAGTGATAATGAATTCATGTAACACGTAGGGTTTTCTAACCATGCTGTTATAATTGTGCAGTCAGATGTCATGGCCAATACAAGCATACTAGGAAAACATGCTTTTAGCGATAATTTCCACTTTGTTTTCCTCACAATTAGTTGTGTATTTGGTGCTTTTCAGGAAACGATGGACGCTCTGGAGATGTTGGCATCGTGTTTCATGACGATTTCCGATTTCTCCATCACACAACTACATCTCAATCCTGAGACATTTCTCGTCATACTCGCTTTCTTGACAGCCACATCTCTATTTGTGGTTCGCTATTTTTCAGTAGCTTAAACAAAAATAAACATATTGTTGCTAATTTTCTTCAATGCTTAGATCACGATAGGCCTCCTAAAATGTAACAAGTAATCCAGTATGAAACCCTTCACCTGTTGGTCCAAAGACGTTAACGTTTCTCTGCTCTTTTACAATTTAGAGGATCGGTAAATTTTTTAATACACTGCCTTATTTCGTTCGTAGCCTTGAAATTTATTACCTTAATCTGCAGCGTAAAGTAAGAAAAACCTGATAGGATACTTTTTTCAATTACAAACCACCTGCCCTCCACTAAAATTCCCACGCACTCATTTCTTTTTCCATTTTCCTTCTCTCTTAAATGGTCATTGCAAAGTAAAACTTTGCCATCAAGAGTCGTAACGATTGTGACTTAGTGAAATTAACGTTAACGTCGTCCGGAGGGAGCCGTCATTCTATCGCCGCCTTTCGTCATCAATTTTCCACCATCAATTTGTCCCACTTGGTTCCCATTCTATAGTCAGATATGTGTTTAGATTCTAGCTTTGATTCTCTTTTATATACGATACTATACTAGTAATATTATTAAGAAAACAAAAAATTGCTTGAGTACACTTAATAATTGATAATTGCAAAACACCGGACCGCAGGTGTCTGCGGTAAGTAACGAACGTGCTATTGTCCTTTCCGGGGAGTAACGCATTCACCACCACTCCATGCGGGTCTTTCGTTTCGCCTGTCTCTCAGCTAGTTCTATCGATCTTTGCCACAGCAATGACCCGTCAACGTGATTGATCTGGGGTGCCAAAATCGGCAACGAACCCAGTTAAGCTGAGCCGTTAAAAAGAATAGGCAGTAAATAAAAAGGTTAAGATTGTGATTATAACTATAGCGCGTTCGTTCCCCACCGCATACACCTGCGGTTCGGAGCCTTGCAAATATCTCAGCATTATAGAAGTTATACTTCGCAGCATACTTCGCCGTTAAAAAGAATGGGCAGTAAATAAAAAGGTTAAAGTTAATAATTAAATTATTTCAAAGAGGCGTCATCACGAAGAATCATGTGTACCCAAGCACAATTGCGACTTGGCTGATGGGTAATTTACTGATTGGACAAATTACTTGAATATACTATCTTTATATACTATGACATGCTCTGTCACATATTGTGCTTATTGCGACCATTCTTTCGTAGGTTCTTTCACTCCATCGTCTACTGACCTCTTCCGATTTGTATGGTAGCTCAAATGCTAAATGAGGGCTTTCTCATCTCTACGAATCAAGTCGAATCTACGAACCAATTTCCCGACTTCTGAGGGATAAGGACTTAATGAGCCCGAAGAAGGATCGAACTACTATCGTGCTCGTTGACGTCTGGTACCATCACCACTGTGCTATCTTCCTCATTATTTCAGTATGAGGAACAAGAAAATGGTGAACTACACTTTCTGAGCGTCTCGTTTCTTGCTATAATCACCAATTACGAAGATGCGTGTCTTTCAATAAAAAAAATCTCCAACGACTTATTCATGAGCGATTTAAGAGCACCGCCCTTATCTAGAAAATGGTGATTGGCTAGTTTTTACTAAAAGACAGCGCCGGATTGACGTAAGGGACGTTCGCTTGTCCGATTGAGGACAAAAAACGCGGTTTGGTCGAGTTTTTTCATAGCAATGGCTGTTGTTGCTTTCGTTATGACCACCACCACCTCAGCCCATCGAGAAGATCTCATGGGAATTTCCTTTATGGGTGTTGTGCAACGCTCGCTTCCACAATGGCGGCCGAGGTGTCGATTTCTCTGTGTGCCTCGCCCTCTCTTCTATTTGAATCTCTTCCACCTCAGGTTCATCATGACGGCTTTTGCCGCATTACTGTGATTTCCTCACGAATGTGAACCTAATACTGAAAATAATCCCCAAAATGTGAAAATAAAGCAAAGTTCAAAGTAGCTAATCTTTTGGAGGAACAGGTGATAGCGTGAAAATTTGAGGTTTCCAACTCTTTTATGCAGCCAGTCTATCCAAACGTTATGCACTCATCTTCACGCGATTTCATTCACATTGAGCTTACACGATATTTGTTTCCCTTTTCAAGTCAATGTTAAGATGCGATCCGATCCTTATTTATCAGTACTTCATTTATACGTCTGGACTTCACATACTGCATTGCTCCTAGCATTTCCTGCATTTGACTCATTATATGGTACCTGTCATCCATGAAGATCCATGGTGCCATTCTGGAGACTTTGGAGATAAGGCGGAGCCTGTTTGTCCCAAGAGGGGATCAAACCAGCTATGTGTCATCGCACGACATGTCCACCTACTCCACTTACCACGGTTACCTAATGCCCTCGACCTAATAAGATTTTAGTCATTTAAAGTCTTAAGCTGTAAATTGCCTTTTTGCTAAAGCTCTCGCCTTGAAGACAAAGTTGCGTAATAAGACTGTTTAATTTCTAATTTGTCCTTAGCAACCCTTTTAGTTGGTTTTCTTCAAAGACACTCGTCTGGGTCAAAGTTCTCTCCTAGGAATGTCTCCCGAAAACATAAAATGTAAAAATATGCAAAAATCTTGTAAAATATGCAGTAAGACACCATATTAAATATATAAGGAGCCGAATTATTTATAAATACTCTAGTCATAGCCAGCCGCGCTTATAATTGGGAATAAGGACAATTTCCTCCCAATGTCGATGAAATAAATCGAAACGAAGAAACCAGCTGTTATTCTTTTAAAATTTAAAATTTAAAATGAATCTAAAATTCATTATTTGTGCAAAGTTTTGATTCTAATTTCCAACGGCAGAAAAATTCCAAACGTTGGAAAAATTCATAGCGATTTGTTCTCACAGAAGTCACTTACACTCTCACTCACACTATACGCAGATTTCTTCATATAATAATCAAACGTATTTTAAGGGCTGATAGCGCAGTGGTAGTGATGTCCACCATCAGAGCATGGTGCTAATTCGATTCTGCCCTGGACCAACAAAGCCTCTCATCCTTCTGGTGTTGGGGAATTCGTACTGGACTTATCCGAGAGAAGATCACTCTCTGCCATCCAAATAGGAACGCTCCAGCCCTGTTCTCTCAGCACTCTAGGAAGAATCGACTCGATCAGCATTCTATGGCATTCAAGAACGAATGAAAATCTAAGCAGCAACCGAAGCCACAACTAAAGCTGGAAGTTCTCGCGGACAATGGTTGCGAGGAATCGATTCGAACGTGAGAAGTGATGGATGGAATCCGCATAGTAGATATGAAGACGGGTCATATGAAATAGAATAAAATACTAAATGTGTTTTAATGGTGTCGGCATCTTGTAGTAAAGTTGTATTTGCAACACGATAAACCTTCGATAACTGTAGGAGATCTTCACTTGATTCGACTCTGTGCTTATGATGAGATCACCCAGTTCGCGAGGACGGCTACTTGTAGACCATCGTCTCTAATCAATCCGGCTCTAAAGAAATAGAGCACGTCGAAGCGCTAGCCGAATAAAATTCCCTACTAACCTTCTGCAAGAATAAACAACTAAGAAAATATTGATCAGTCATGCCGGGGTTAAAGGAAAGTGGGTTTTTCAATTTATGACCGTCAAATTTTACCACTTGTTCTCCATTTCTCATTAGTAAAGTCGATGGAAGCGATATCTTTTGCCAGGAGACGATTTCATCACTTGATCAATTGCTCCACCTTTCGCTGAAGTCTAACAGATTCTGCGTGACCAATACCCCTCCATGGCGAAATGATTGTTATATTTCATCATGTTTCTGACTCCTCAACGATGATGTCGGATAGAAACGGTATAAGAGAGGTCCTTCACTAACGAAATGACCGAAGCCCTTCTTTCGTCAACTGTCTCTGACTTCTCTATTTACTAATGTCCTTCTTTGACTAAATGATGAAAATTTTCTATCATACTCCTGGCTTCTCAATATGCAGCCGACGTTGTTCGTTAATGAAATGGCTGTACCACTTTGTAAGCCGCTTCTGATTTATCAACGATGAGGATAAACAGAATCGTTGTAGCCATTTATTTCCTTAAAATGGGCGAAAATTTTCATATACATTGAATTACAATTCCACTTCCACTAACTTTTTGGTGCACACGATTACCATATTGATTTCTGTACGTTTACATAAAATAATTCACTATAATCCATACCGCCATTCTCCAGAGTGCACCAGGCTAGGATACCGCAGTGGTTACTGATGGTTTCTTCAGGAAGTAAAGGCGCTAGTTCAATATCCGACCCAACATTGTCGCCTAATCCAAGTGGCAATGTCTTATCCTGGGACTTTCCAAGATTGCAAGAACCACCGTTTTACGACATTTAAGATGAAGTGGGAACCCTCAAACATCTGCCGAACTCAGACGCTAAAATGCTCGAAGACCATTGGGAAGACTGAATGCGAGGATGACGACTAGAATGCAAGAATTGCTAGGATCCCCACAGTAGATGTGGTGACCGATCATGTAAATAATAATTGCTCTTGAAAATCTCGTCTTTTTATGAATACCGTGGAAAATTCGTTGATTTGACTCTCCATGCAATGTTGTGAATAGCTAAGGTAAGGTGTTCTCACGTATACACTGGAATACAGCGATGTAGAGGGGGTTGAATTAGCACCTTGCTTCCTGTTGAGCCAATCACCACTGCGCTACTCACCCATGACAACGTTTTGGAGAACACCAAAAGTTGCTTCCTATTGTTTCAAATCATTCCAAGCGTTATTAACTCAAATTATATCACTGAAAATTTTTAGCTTACATGGAATATTTTTAGCGATTTCTTTCTCTAACAGTCTTAGTTATTTCTCTTTTACGAATTCCTTCACAACTGAATACTGTCCATTTTGCATTATATATATATATATATATATATATATATGTATACATAATATATATAATAAGTACATATGTGTATATATACACATATATACATATATTTTCAGACATTTTCTTTCAGTGTTGCTTGCCAATAATGTTTTGTTGTACGCGAAAGAAGAAGGATCCAGGCAGTCCGTACACAAGACGAGAAGTGATTTGTAAGGTTAATTTACTTGCGCCATTCTTAAATTTACAATTATTCTTAAATACATGAGTCTACTCAATATTTACGAAGAGTTGGATGTTCATCAGAATTGACGTGACATACATCTAACTTCTCCTTAGCTATGATATCGTTCAGTACTTTTTCTGACGTATTTAGTATCATGACGGTTGAAAAGAACATTGACATTGTGTGGTATCGTGCAGTTCCTTTCAGAAAGGTCTTTTTGCGTTGATGTTGGCTCGAGTCGATGAACTTGACACACTGACACCACTCATCACCACACCAACACAAACACCTGTTGACACTACACCACAAATTACACGAGTTAGTATTTCACAACTTAATTGCACCATTGCAGTATTATTTGTTACAAGCGCTAGTTGCATTATTATGATTACTAGTGGATATTAGTATTATTAAATCAGTAGGCAATAAATAAAAATTGACGACATTGTGATTTCTACCATAGATCGGGCTTAACTGGGTTCATGCCGATCTGTGCTTCCCAGGTCAATCTGAGAGAAAGGCTAAAACGAAGAACTCGCATGGTCTGGTGGCGAACGCGTTAGCCCCAGAAAGGGTAATAACGTGTTCGTTCCTAACCGGAGACACAAGAGGTCTAGAGTTTTGCGAATATCTTAGCAGCTTATTATGACTACTGTTACTTCTCCTTTTATTAGTGTTATATTATTATGTCATGCAGCGTAGTGATATACTGCAGTGCGTGCGAGGTCGTTGGCTGGATTGCGTGAGTCGTGCTCATCTAGCCCTCTATCCTGGAGACGGCCGGTTGGTATCGAACTAGTCTGAGTAATCAATCTGAACATTTATTTCCATTACGGAACGAATGCACTCATGAGTTCGAAAACTTTTTCCTATATACTTGATGATCTTTTCTAATATACGTGACCTGACTCACCCTGTGACCACTTGCCTCTAATCCTAACCTTCGTCGACGATGAAACAGCGTTTGACAGCGTCGAAACGAATGCCATCATATCAGCGCTCGTTGACCAAAGATTGGAACCGTCCCACATAAGAATTCTGTTTGGCTGTTACCGGAAATGTACCACGAAAATACAGCTTTTCCATTGACCTCTTACCATACACATAGGAAAAGTGGTTCGACAGGGCGACACAATATCGTCAAAGCTGTTCAGTGCCGCAGTGCAGTGGATAATGAAGTCACTCGATTGGGATGAGAAAGGCATACGTACTGATGGAAAATTCCTATCAAACCTTCATTTCGCTGACGAAATTGTCATTTTCTCAAAAAGTGCTATCGGAGAAGAGACGATGATCAACGAGCTGAACGGAGCGGAAAAAAAACATCGGAATACGCATAAATCGGAAAAAGACCCAGTTCATAAAAAAGCCATAATGTGAAGAAGAACAAATTGAACTGGATGGTTTTCTGATTGCAGAGGACATCTAGTACGTATACCTTGGACAATCAATGAGCATCGAAAACAACATGAAGGAGGAACTAGATAGAAGAAGGAGAGAAGCTTGGGCTGCATTTGGGTCTCTGAATGAAGTCACCGACCAACTGAAGGACCCGAAAATCCGCGCTCACCTTTTCGATTCAACGGTCCTCCCAACGCTGTGCTATGTTGCAAAGACGTGGGTTGATACTTCAACCACGTCAAAAATACTCTGCACTACGCACAGAGCGCTTGAGCGATGTTTTCTGAAATATAACAGGCATTCTCAATATCTAGCCGGTATGCGAAGCTCTGACCTTAGAAATCTGTCGCATCATCGAGATATAGGAGAATACACATCGACTGCGAAACATAGCTGGGCCGGTCAAATAACGAGAAGAACTGACGACAGATGGAGGATAACTGTAGAGTGGACTCCACGAGAATGCAAACGTCCTCTAGAACAGCCACCTATACGCTGGACAAACGTGTTCGCAAGCAAAGTTAATCAGTTCTACCCGTCGCTGAAGTTATTTTACAGATCACGGTATGTGACTCGCACGCGCCACCATGCTCGAATAAAATCTTCACCATGAATTGACGATTGCGAGGAAAGGAAACGAATGGTAAATGTGCTGGAGTCCGCACAACTCCTGGGACCACCCAAGTATCCAAGTAACTATATACGTGATGATAAAATGTGAACGCACTCTCATGGAATCATCCAGACTTATGAAAAAACTACCAGACCAGCAATATAAGTATTCATTGAGTAACGCATTTAGATAAACAAATTTGTCTGTGAAGATAGACCATTTGCAATACTGGCTTTCCATGAACCTCTGTATTGACAGAATCTATTAACCGAAGACCGGAAACATCACTGTGTGCGTTAAGATATCCAAGTTTAGGTGGGCCAGACACCACAAAACTGAGAGACCAATGATAAAATAGGTAGAATTATTCACCATGATCCTACAATAAAAGTGTAATGCAAAGCATTCTACTTACTGCCTATTTTTCCTTCGAAGAACAGTATTACGTGAAATAGAACCACAATGATGTTGACCCATTTGCAAAACCCAGACTTCAGTCCAGATTCGAATTAGTGATTAGATGACCCTTTTCGAGGTCTCACATGTCACCACTACTGAGGCTCTGGTTAAGCGTCCTCTCAGCAAGTTTCTAACTCTAACAGCGTCATTGACAATCATCCGTCAATAGGAATGACCTTCGAAGCATAAATCGGCATTGAACCCAGTTAAGCTGAGGCTACAGCCGACATCACAATGCATAACTTTTTATTTACTGCCTATTATCTCTTTGTGGAAAGGTATTATGTGAAATACAACAACAACGATGCTGAGATATTTGCAAAACTCAGACTCCAGTTCGGATTCGAACTCGCGATTGCTCTTTTTGGAAAAAATGTGGTGCCTAGCGAGATCATGCAACAAACAAATCCTATTGCGCTAAACTTAGGCTTGAGAGGTAGAACTGGAAATCTTCTGACTAGGTGGGGGAGTTATGAGTCGAAAGAATTGAGCTAATTTAACAACTATTAGAGGCGAAATAAACAAGTCGAGTTTTTTTAAAAATTTTACATGATCGGTCATCAGATATTGTACGAATCCCAGCAATAGTTGTCCTCGATTCGTTTCTACTTAGCCATCATCAACAAACAACTTCGGAGTTCATGTGCAGATTCGGCTTCTGCACGATGTCAGCCACATTTTAGTTTTCTTTATGAACACCGTTCAACGCTCGGGGATTGCATCCTATCTGTAATGGTAGGTTGAGTTAATCCCGGGCAAGTCTGGCACCATATTCTTAACTTTGTAGAGATGAAAGGCTTGCCCTGTAACGAGATCGAACCACGACCTTGTGCGTATTAGATATCACCACTATTGTGTTACCTGAGCTCCGGACAAAAATCATTAATTATTTGTTGAGTAGCAATGCTTAACAACAAATCTATTAATAACGCGGTGATATATAAATGTTATATAGAAGCTCAGAAATTCAAAATGTCAAAAGAAATTTTTCTAGCTACATATTCATTGAACAACATAAACACTCGAATATTCGATGTCGGATCAATTCTGATCATTGCCAGAACTGCGCGATTCTCATTTTATTTAACTAGAAGATTCTTAGTTTTTCTGAGCATTTGCCACTATCGGTTTTCTACCGGTGGAGAATTTCGTACTTATTCGACAGACATTCTGGATAGAAATGACGGGATGCGAAGTGTCTCATTTTTAACGTTCTTTTATTAATTATATTTTTTTATATTATATTGTTTTATAATTTTATGCAAGAAAATATTCCAAAAACATTCTAAATATTAATAAATAATTCTCGACACGTCCTTTTCTATGACCAACTACTCACTGAAATCACTGCGACTATATCCTGTCTGAAAGCAGGAAACCTTTTCCCAACGCACAAAGGCTGAAGAGTTCTCGTTGTGGAGGCTGGCTTGGTAATGCCTAGGCTATCTTAACATTCCAGTAGAGACTAGGCTTGATGACTCCTCAGCGTATCAGTGAGGAAAGAAGGAAAGAGGTGCTTGAGGTGCTGATGACGAGTAGAAGCATGTAATATAAAGACTGGTCTTTTAAATCTATAGTTATTTAAACAAATAAGGTTTGCGCTATTGAAATGTCTAATTGTTACTGTGCTTCTTCGATGCTTTATTCTATCCTCCTTAGTTAGTCTTTTTTTCCTATTATATACTTGTTTTTTTCTTTTAGCCAACACTACCTCAAGCGGTCCGTCTTACCTCATCGGATAGCCCTCCACCACCACGTCGTTCAAATCATGGAAAGACGTTGATTGTACCGTTGAACGCTAGTCGATGTGAGCCACGCATTATTTGTTGTAAATTTAAGTACCGCTTAAGGTAGCCAATTTTTAGTTTCTGTGAATCATTTTATGTATGTGTTGATCAGAATCTAGTAGTTCATGGAGATAAAACCAACTATTTATTAATCCTATTAACGATTCGTCCAACATGGCTTCTCAAGGGGTAGTACTGTCCAAAAAAAATAACAAAATAGGAAACATGACTGCTTAGAAAAAATGGCTGCATGGAAATTCTAGATACGATCTAGATGGTCCTTCCGGATATGGGAACGCCTACAGGTCAACTATAGCTTTTTTCCAAAAAGTTTTCCGGAAGGAATAAGCATTATTATCACTGTAATATATTGCCACATAACATTTTCTTGCAGCTATGAAGTGCCGTCCAAAAACCACTTAGTAGTCGAAATTTTTGTTGCCTTAGTATCAATTTCTGTCTTCAAAAAATTTCTATGGATGGCTAATGTTTCAAAATATGAAGACGATACTTAATTAGACACTTAGATGGCCCTTTTTCACTGGTTGTGCAGACCCTAGGACAATTTCTGTTTTCCGGAGGTTTATTGGTTTAGCCATTGTGGCCCCATGGGGTCCCGAGATCATCCTAGCCGAAGTCTTCTTCGTGCCATCACCACCGCTATTCGCTGTTCTTGTAGATCAGAGATTGCCACTATGCAACCAGTTTGATACCAGGACGGTGGTGATTCTTGGCATTGGTTCACTCTTAGCTGGACTTTAGAATGAAAATGTTGAACCCTTCTTAGCATGGGAAGCTTTGCAAGGACGATGAATCTCCAGACGTATATCGCAGCCCTACACCCAGGAACATCGTTTAACCATGATAAGGCGGTAAACCATTGCTAGGGTTAATAAATATTATAGATAATTCCACTTTAACATTTTGTTTTCGCATTTGTTTTAACATAACAGTAGAACTACATATCATAATTAAATAAATTTCATTTTGTCAATTTCAAACGAATATGGATCAATTCCAGATCGAGTGCCAGTCACCCCACTACTCGGCACTCCGGACAGCCGAATAACGTCGTTCGAAGCCGGTACGACGAAAAGCTGTGCAACAATTCCTGAGGGTGACGAAGACGAATCGCCCAGCTCTGAGCAAATCGACGACCTGATCTCCATCGACAGGGTCTGAACACTTCACAATCGCCTTTGCGACGGTAGTTTACTGCGCTGCGCTTGAAATCACAGTACTGCAAACGTTTGAGAATTTATAGCATGTGCCTAAATCTTTGTGTCCTTTCCCTTTATATTTGTAAAACGATATTTTGCTGAAAAATAAAAAACGGCCTTGGGAATTTTGTAAGTGCATAGATAGATTACTAAAAGAAATAATATAGTGACGAAAAGTACATTCTTTTTTTTAGACGGCTTCATCATCGGAATATAAACCACATCGAGGCTTCTTTTCACATTCATGCTATAATATTATTCTTCCTGTTGCTCCGCCAAAATTTCAGGTAATGCAGTCATATTAAGCATTTGACCTTATTCGTATCCTTTGTGTCTGGTAGGCGTAGCGCAGTAGTTAGAGGGTACACTGCTATACACACCGGATTGATCGGTTGTTCTATTCGAGGCCGGGGCTAACTAAGACCTCCATCTCTCTGGGATCAACATTATGGTGCCGGACTGGACTGAGAAGATAAAAATTCTGATTTCACACATCGATAGGCTATCACTTTGCAGGCCATATGTGTTTTCAATCACGTGTACGACGTGTCGAATGGAGTTTAATGCAAGGCGCATCCAAAAAAGATTGGTCAGCACCACACTCTTTATTTTTCCCACCTCTTCTATGATTTGCGTTTCCGTTAATTATTGTGAATAACTATAGAGATCACTTGAAAAAACATTCATGAAAAGAATAAGATAGTTAGGATAAAAGAATAAAGCATTCGGTGTTGATCAATCCCTGAGGGATATATTGCGCTTTCACCTTCATCGAGCTTCATAGTGGATGGTTTAGTGCATGTCTGATCGGCGAAATAACTCGCGGTGGCCTACCGATGTGCCGACTCTGTGTTTTTACTATCCCAGACAAGTTTGGTATCAATTTACTAACCCCGAAGTAATGGTAGGATTGGTTTAGCCTAGGGCACGAAATCAAACCAACAACGAAATGTGTATAACCAGACAACTATGACCATTGCCTTTACGCACACCTAATGAAAACAATAGGAAAAACAACAGTAGCAGTAATTTTAGACGATATGCTTACTAGTGGTTTTTAACGACGTTTCAGTCATCGTGTTCTGGTTCATCGGTAAAGGTAAGTGTCAGCAAGCGAAGCCACAGTGATAGTCATTTTCAGTGGTGAATGGCATTACGAGAAGTTTTCTCGTACCATTGCATAATATGATGTGATATTTATGATTTGTGCAATGAGCTGTCAAAGGCGAAAAACACGGGCTCGAAAAAAAACAACAAAAGGAAACCAAAAGAATCACAAACTGCGTTCATTATATATAGATTCAGGGTAAAATCAATAGCTCGAATTGGTGATGAGAGTTGACTAACGCAATGAAATTTGTCTCCCACCTCGGTAGGAATGAGTTGCAGGGCGCCTGATAGCACTTATGAAGAGACCGGTTGAAAAAAGGTTTTTCCGAACTGTTTAAAAAAAGCCATAGTCTCTTAGTCAAAGGTCACCATTTATAGATGGCATTTGGCTTAAAACGTTCTAATGCTGCTAATCTACGCATAAGAAAATTATTGTTGTTCATTTCAGCCATGCAATAGTTACTGAGCATTTACTCCCACGTCCGACTTTCTATTAACCTCGGCATTGATTAAACAATTCTTTCCACTTCTGTTCAGGAAACACGAGGTGTTATTCCCCTCCCCCACTCACGTAAAAGCTGACGTTTCGGCGGATATGAGTCTTCCACTGAGTATGTCGTGTGAAGACCAGCCGCACAGAATTCACATGGAAGCGTAATGTACGTGAGTGGGGAAGTGGAATAACACCTTGTGTTTGCTGAGCAGAAGTGGAAAGAATTGAACATTTGCTCACCATCTAACATAACTCTTATTTGAAGAGCACAGTGTTGATGCCCAGAGTGCATCCTGTTGTCGAGGAATTTTTGATGATGACTATTTTCGATGGTATTTTTCTTTTTCGTAGAAATTTTCGTATATGCGTAGTCCAGATGCTTCGTTCATTCAATCACTTCGTTTCATTACATCCGTCATTCACAAAGGTCTTCGAATTCTGTATGTGAATTCGGACTCCACTTTAAGAATTGCTTGTCTTCATGAATGTCGTCGAATACTGGTGATTCTCGCTGAAAGCTCGAAATTGCTATCCTAAAGTGTCCCTACTTATTCATGACAGGCAGTTTAATCCTTGTGCATGGCAGCAAGCTCTTAGCAAACAAATCTGCCACTAATGTACCGATCCCGAAATGAATATAACGTTTGGTGAGCCTGGTGTCGAACCACTAGACGGTGCGTTCATTGCACCGCATCACTATCACTAAGCACTGCTTTTTCAGCGTCCTCGTGCTGTCTTCTCTAGTGAAACAACAAAAAATTGAAATAACTTTCCATGCTAACTATATCATTTATTGATTTTTCATTGCGGGTGCATATTACTATCAAGATCGTCATGTCATAGAAAGTTAACTTCTCATAAAGCCATTCAAGCTGAAGCTTTTGTTTAGTTTTGTATGTGTTCGCATTATTTCTCGTAACTTCAAAATTATGCGCATAAGTATATAAATATTTACATATATATACATGCATATATATACATGGATATGTAACTACATATATACTTTTAATTATTAACCAACCTCCCCACCCTTACCGCTCATCGGGGCTGGTAGATGTTCCTGGGTGTCGGGCTACGATGTACAACGAAGGGACGTTAATATGGAACGAATGTTCCCTCAGCAGGGTTTCTCAAGCTGAGAACGAGTTTGGCGTTTCTATCAGAAACTCTAGCTAAGAGTAAACCAATACCAGGATCTACCACCGTCCTGGTATCAAAGTTGCATGGTGGCAAATCTCCCTCAGATCCACAAGGGCGGCGACAGCCTGTCGTGGTGAAGACTTGGGGCAGACTTTGGCCAGGCTGAGCACGGTACTCCAGGAAACCACAATGGCCAGACCAGCAAAGCCTAGACGAAAAGGCGAAAATTATGCTGCGGTCCACACAACTAGTGAAGGCGGACCATCCAAGTATCCAGGTAACCAACCTCGCACCCTATAAAGTCGTATTTCGAGCATTAAAACGGTATTCACCGTTGTAACCTCATAAATGAAAATTATAGAGAACTAAAAATTGCTCACATGATAGATATGCATGTCATTATAAAACACAACCACACCTAGAAAATTTAGTAAGATAACGTTCTTATGCATTAGAGTTCTTTGGTTCTCCTTATTTTTGGCTTTTATTCGCTGAAAATACTTGCTTAAAGAAATAGAAGCCTATAAAACCTACAATAGTTGCCGTGTGTGCCGATTATATGTTAGTGCTTAAGGGCTTTGTAGAGTAGACTTTTGATATCTGAGTGGCTAATAATTTTCGTTATAAAAAAGCACGTTCATTCAGATTCCCGTGCCAACGTATTCACCTCCATCTGTGCCTGAATATCATCAAAACTGCGTTCGTCAAGTACCACTTGAAACTAGACATCATCTAGCCAGTCCTGACGGGGAATGCTCTCATATGAATAGTATAAGCAGGTCGGTTTCTTACGTGAAATCAAACCAAACGTTTTTAAGACTTCAAAAGAGTACCTACTATCGTGAAATTTTCCTGTAGAAGCAATTGGCAAAATAAAATTAAAACCAAAGGACGATTTCACTGAAACCTCACAGGAAAGAAACAGAATGGTGGGAAAAACGCAGATGTCTTATGTAACGAGCGTATGAACATCAGCACTGATGGTGGACTGATTCGTTTCGACAGATTACAAAAAGTGAAGAGCCTTTACTCACTGGAAGAACAGTATTGAATTAGCGCTACTCATTACTCGGTCGCTGAGGAATAGCTCGGATTCGCTTCAAAATGAACCTAAAGTATTGGAAATAAATGACGCTGAAGTATCCAAATGGTGCTAAAATACAGAAAAATTGTTGAAGCGTCGGAAGTATTAAAAAATTTTGCGGGAAGCACATAACTCTATTCTAGAGGCGGATATCATAGTGGTAGTGATGTTCGCCACCACGAGCATGGTGCTGGTTCGATTCCGCTCTGGGCCAACCAAGCCTCTTGTCGCTCCGGAGTCGGGAAATAGGTAGCGGAATTGTCTGGAAAAAATCACTCTCTGTAATCCAATTGGAAACGCTCCAACCCGGCTATCTCAGGACTTTAGGGAGAATTGCTCAACCAGCATTCTACGACATTCCAGATGAAATGAAAATCCTCAAGCAGCAACCAAGACACACGTAAAATTGGAAGGTCTTCGTGAACAATAAATACGAGGAAACGAATCGAATGTGAGAAGTGCAGGAATGCACACCGTAGATGTGATGATGGGTCATATAAAATAAAAAAAAATTAGAAAAAAAACATAGCTATTCTTGATCCACTCGTAGTTTAAATTCATTTCCATCGGGTTTCCAACGATCTACCGTAAATAGACGGCTATTCTCTCACACAGTAGATAACTGATATGATATCATTTAGCAAATACAGTGCATGGTATTTTACTAAGAAAACGCAAGTATGTAAAGGGATGTCTAAAATGAGCATAGAATTCTGAATATTTTTATAAGAGCAGGAAAGAGAACAGCAACATTTCTTTGCTTTCCAACAGCGTTTCAGCTCTCTAGTAAAAATGTACCAGATTTAAATGCAGCTAGGGAATTACTGTCCTAAGCTGTTTTCTAAGTTATCTATCGATTAAGAAAACACCTACACTGGAGTTTTGGCGGGCAATGAAAACAAGATGTGTATCTGCATAAGGAATATCAAGATTTAATGGAAGAAAAATCCATAAGGACTTTAGTAAATAGAGATTCAATATAGTAAAGCAAACATTGTCGCGATAGGTTGTCATTTCAGCCTCAATTCCACTGGTTCACCAATTGATATCACCGGATCGTTCAGTGATAGCTGCTACGTGAACAGCGACGTGATTTCTTCCGCCAATGGTAGGCACGTCAGAAATTAGTAATATTAGCTGAATTTTCGTTCTGTCTAAAACACTGTCCTACATTCCATACTTTCAAATAAAAGATATAATCGAGAATTTCTCGAACTAATAGGAAGAGGAAAGTATAACTTCAGATCTATTCAAGAGAGGCCATTTCAATGAGCCTTATGATAAATCAAAGTTTCCGCGTTAAAATTTAGAAGTACACCTAACGGCCAATTCAATACTTCGTGATTCTTTCTCCAAAACCGATCAAAAATCTCTTTGATACTGTTTTCTGGGCTCATTTAAATAACTGCAAAATCATCCAATAAAGTAGAGTCACATAGCGTAGCGGAGAAACGCGTCGCACAGGCACACATGGTGGTCGTCGAGTTCATTCCCATTCACCACAGCAATCATTTGCTTTTCTCATTTTGGGGTTAAAGAGTTGATATCAAACTCTTCTGCGATCAACGAATGAGTAGCTGATGAATGGCTTTCATGTTTCAGTAGGTTGAACGCATAAAATCAATATTCAATGAATCTACGCATTAATTAAGCGTAAGCGTCTGGCGTTGATCAATCCCTGATGTGCTGTGCATTCCACTGCATTCATGGCATCGCAAAGCTAATTGAATGCACCTTCCGCTTGTGCAGCAATGTAAGAAGGCATATCAATGAATCGATTGTTGTTATCTTTCCAAAAAGAAAATCTGTTACAAACTTGCCGACCCGGAATGAATTAGGGGCTCCCTTGGCCTGTGAAGCCCAGTCGAACCCACGTCCCTGTGTGTATTGCAGTGATTTCCCAAACCAATGCTTTACATGAGTGTCTAAAAATTAATGAGTGATTCAACCAAATTTGCCAAAGCCTATTTGGCTAAAACTGACAAACAAGTAGGACTCAATGAGATGCTGTTTTAATTTACGTGTTCAGGATCACAAGTAGTAGACGATCATCTATGCGCTACTGAAGCTGAGGTGCAATCCAAATACCATCTACATAGGTGCGCTAGTAGTTGATCCTTCAGAGACTTAGGTTTTAGAATGAGTGATTAGGATCATGGTAGAAATGTATTAATTCCTCCAAAACATGCTGATACTGCTAATGTAATAATCAATCTCTTAGAGTTCAGAATCGAAGAGGAGACCGAGACGATTGATGATGGCATGCGATGTGCCCGTACCGTCTACAGTCAGAATAGTCTCGATCAGGAACGAAATGTCGTTATACCACGCAGTATTTCTGAACAGGTACTTCTAGAAGGAAAAAACCTTTACCAATAGTAATCGATAAGTTCACCCCAGCGATTAAATAACAAGCTCAGAAATATTTCATTACATTATTGTGCTAAAGTGAACATTGTAGAACATACCTCAATAATAAAAGAAACCTTCAGGGATTCAGGAAAATGATGTAACCATAGGAATCTCAACAAATAGAATATTTTTTGTGAAGCAAATTTTACGTTGATTGCGCACTTTCGAGCTGGTCGATCAACTTTTCGTCTATGTGATATGTAAATAGTAAACGACTTTAAGAGTTAGAAAGCCTATTTATAAGTTACTTTCCTACTTGGATACTTGGGCGGTCCGTCTTCACGAGTTGTGCGGACCCCAGCACATATACCATTCGGTCCTTTCTCTCGTAATCGTAATTCATGGTGGTGGTCTTGTTCGAGCATGGTAGCACGTGCGAGTCTCATACCGTGATCTATAAAACAACTGCAGCTGCGGATACAGCTGATTAATTTTGTTTACGAACACATCTATCCAACGTGTAGGTAGCCGTCCTAGGAAACGTTTCTATTCTCATGGAGTCCAGTCTACAGTTATTTTCCACCATCTGTCGTCTGTTTTTCTCATTATTTGACCGTTCCATCTATGTTTCACTATCGATGTATATTCTCCTGGATCTCGAAGATGTGACAGATTTCGATGGTCAGAGCTTCGCATTCCAGCTAAATATTGAGAATGACGTTATATTTCAGAACACATCGCTCAAGCGCTCTGTGAGTAGTGCAAAATATTTTTGACGTGGTTGAAGTATCAACGCACGTCTCTGTAGCATAGCGGAGCTCTGTGAGGACCGCGGAATCACAAAGGTGAACGCGGATTTTCGGACTTTTCAATTGGTCGGTGGCTTCCTTGAGAGTCCCGAATGCGGCCCAAGCCGCACTACTTTTTTATCTAGTTTCTCCTCGATGTTGTTTTCCATGTTTGTTGATCGCCCAAGGTATACGTACGACGTGGTATTTGCAATGAAAGAGCCATCCAATTCAATTTTCTCGCCTTTGCACAGCGGCTTTTTCATGAACTGGGTCTTCTTTCGATTTATACGCCGTCCAATCTCTTTTCCCCGCTTTGTTGAGTTCGTTGATCATCACTTCTGCTTCGCTAGTACATCTTGAGAAGATGTCGAATGTCGTCGGCAAAACGAAGGTTTGATAGGAATATTTCGTCAGCATGTTTGCCTTTCTCATCCCAATCGAGTGACTTCATTATCCACTGCAGTGCGGCACTAAACAGCTTTGGCGATATTGTTTCGTTTCGTCGAACTCTTTTTCTATTGAACGGTAAGAGGTTGATGGAAAACTGTATTTTTGTGGTGCAGTTCCGATAACAGCCAGACAGAGTCCTTATGTAAGACGAATCAACTCCTTGGTCGACGAGCGGTGATAGGATTGCATTCGTTTCGACACTGTCAGACGTTTTCTCATACTCGACAAAGGTTAGGACTAATGGCGAGCGATATTCCCGCTAAACTTCGATGACCCTGGACACAGTTTGGATGTGGGCCATGCAGCAAAATTTTTTTTTCGAAATCCTGCTTGCTCAACTGCTTGCCCATCATGTAATGTCCTTGATATGCGCGAGAGGATAATCTTCGTGAAGAGCTTGTAGAGTACACTCAACAAGTATATGGGACGATAGTTACGATGATCCCTTCGGTCTCCTTTTTTGGCCAGGATGACCGTAAGCGACGTCTTCCACTGCTCTGGGATTTTTTATTTTTGAAAGTAGGCTGCCATATTATTTGCAAGAAGTACATGTAAATTGTGGCCTCCAGCTCCAAGGAAATCGATAGCGACATTGTCTGGTTCTGCGGCTGTGCCTCTTTTCATGCTTTCTATCGCAACTCCAACCTCCGACGGAAGGATTTCCGGTGGTTTTTCTCCAGCGGGGATATTAGGGTCCGGGACGGAGATTGTGGAACGAAAAATGCTGGTGTAGAAAGTTTTCGCGATTAATTCCATATCGAGCGGTAACTTTTGACGATCCCATCTTCATTTATCAGGATTAACAGCGAAACATTATAATCACACAAGTTTTGACGGGATTTTTTTAGACTGATTCTTTTCTCTGCTGCTTCCAGTAGTTTCTTCTGCTTTTACCGTTGTAGATCTTTCTGCAAAGTTCTTCTGCAGCTGGCATTTATTACTAGCCGTGTTAAAGTAGGATCAAGCTTTAGTTTCCATCTCTTTTCGAGCAACTCCTTAGTAGTGATGGAGATGCGATCCGATCTTCTTGCTTAAGGAACTGAGGCGAGTTTGATACAGCTATTCAGTCCTTCGACAAGGAGCTCGTAGTCTTCGGTCGGGTCTTCTTTAATCTGCCATTCACGTTTGGACAGGACTTCGTTCAGAATGTTCTCGTCGTATACAACCGGACTTTTTTCTCGTGGTCGATGAAGAGAGCTCTTTTTCAACTTACGGCTGAATCGAATCTTCGCGTGAAGAAGGCGGCGTACAGAATAACCAGTACAGAATGACGGGAGTAGCAATGTGTCAAGTAGGCACCGTCTTCTGTTTGCTAGAATGTGGTCAATCTCCGCATGAGTCATGTCGTTAGGTGGCTCCCATGTCCAGCGGCGACTTTCTTTCTTCTGGAAAAGCGAGTTTCCATGGAAGAGACGTGCTGCGAAAAGCAGTTTTGCGAGACTGTTCTCATTCTCATTTCTTCCACCTAATCCAAAATTTGCGATCCTGTATTCGCTCTCGTTGGCCTTTCCTATTCTAGCGTCGTCTCCGACAACAAATTTATGATATGCTTTATCATTGCGGATGACTTCCTCCAACTGATAGCAGAACGCATTTAATTCGTACTCATCAGCTGCGTCGGCCGGTGAGTAGCAGTTGATGATAGTGATCTTATGATGAGAGAGTTGAAGACAGAGGACGGCTATGCGAGGGGAAAGGATCACGTATAAGGCGACGAGATGACCAATGGACGGGTGAACGACAAAACCTACGCCGCCGACATTTCGTGACAGGACCTCCTCTCCACGGATCAGAAGGGTCCCATTGTTTAGTTGGCGTATGTCGGTCTTCTTGATTTTTGTTTCTTGCAATGCGATCACATAAAATTTAATGCGATTAGCAGCCACAGGAAGGGCATGAAGATCGGCGTCTGTGGAGAGTCTTCTGGCATTATTTGTGCGTAGTAATAAACAATCTATATGGGGTGCAGTGGCGTCCTGCGTAATCCGAGATTTTCTGGCCTCTCACCGGTCGTCTCACCGCCTGATATCGCAGACGGGAGCACCCAGTGTGTGAGGTACTGAGGCTCATCCATTGCTGGTCGTGCAACTTGGTCCTCTCTGCAGTCTTCTTAACCTTTCAAAGGTGTATCTAGGTCTTCACCACGATATAGAGCTGAGAGAGGTGTGTTTTCGGTGACCACTCGGTCTTCTTACTAGCTGATTCGGAGAGATGTTGAATCAGAAACGAAAGTACGAATAAAAAAGTAACCGACCGCTCAAGGACGATGTAGAAGCCGAATCCTCCATTTATAAGTTAGCTTTATTACTATTTTATATAACCATAATGTTGCTATGATATTTGCAAAACCCCGGACATTTGGTGTCCACGGTGAGGACCGAACACGCTATTATCCGTCCAGAGGGTTAAGACGCTCACCACCGCACCATGCGGGTTCTTCGTTTCGCCTTTCTCTCAGCTAGTTCTATTGATCAGTGCCATCAGCAATCACCCGTCAACAGAATCGATCTGGGCTGCCCAAATCGGCATTGAACCCAGTTAAACTGAGGCTGTAATTGAGAACAAAATATTAAAAATGACACAGTGAGACATAAGCGAAACGAAGAATCCGCAAGATGTTATGGTGAACTCGTTAGTCCCGGAAAGGGTAATAGCGTGTTGGGTACCCACTGTAGGCATGAGCGATACGGAGTTTTGCAGATATCTCGACAACATTATGGTTACATTTCACATCATACCCTGCCATTAAAAATTAGTAGGTAGCAAATAAAAAAACTAACTAATATTTCATGGATTCGATGTGAAACAGTGGCAAAAAGTGAAAGCGCTTGTCTTAATTGCTCGATACTTGGAAAGCTAATTTTGAAGGAGAATTGTGCAAGCTGGAAACAATTTGCATCTGATTGTTAGTTGTCGAATTTGCAGGATTCTTTTCAATGGAGTCTCAAGAAAGCCACGCTAGGGTTTTTCAAAAGCACCAACACGAACAGTTCACGCCCTTTGTAGACTGGAAGGAAATTTGTGTCTTCTATAATCAGAATAGGGGAGATTCCTAGCGTTGGTGTACTCTAAGTGGACATGACCTATAGATTCTGAGCTTGAAAAACCCTCCTTTGGATGAACCTCTACTGCACATCTCAATTTGACACTCAACAAAACCTCGAAGTCAAGATGAGAGAGTGAAGAACTAAGAAGCAATCATTGCTCGTAATTTCGAAGGGTGAATTATCCACGAAGTCATTCGTCTATCCTACAACTCATATTGTTTGCTTGATGGCTTAGCTTGTTAACTTAGTTCTGCCATAGGTATTCTCTATAATCATCGAACATTCTCCAGTAAAAACGTCTGTCTTATTTGGCGAGTAATAGCGAGGGCTACACAATTGTGGTATGCAGTCCATCGTTTAATGAAAGGATAATCATGAGTGGTTTGCCAGCCGACTTCATTTCCAAACCTTTGACAATGGTATGGCCACACCCCCAACTTTGCCGTGAGAAACGTTTTTAGATCTATGGTGCAAGTGGTGCAAACAGACAAACAAACAAACAAACAGACAGATAAATAGACACGGATACACAAAAACGCCCACGTGCACAGATACATGCGCACATACACACACAACGAAAGGTGCAAGCTAATCCGGTTCGTCTATAGCAGGGATTCCATCCTCAAATCCACCTGCTTCTCAGGCAAATAAGGGAAGGACTTCGATTAGCTTTCCTGCTATAGTTGGAAATGTGTCAGATATCCTCGAAACTAAGATACTTTACGTGGAGTATCTGTAG